GGGATGCTGAATGGGTCAGGAGAGCCAGTGCTAGATCACAGACCGAATGCTCCTGCAAATGTCAACAAAATCATACACATATTTTCATTTCTACCTATTTGACCCATTAACTAACTGCAAAATTTCTCAGTAATCCCTAGCAGATGAGCATCAGAGCAGACCTAAGGTCCAGACTAATCCCTTTATTATGAAGCAATGCTACGGAAATTGAATACCAGCAGTAAGTCGGGAGATTAACAAGCTGGGAAATGCACAAATTAAATTGCATCCTCCCTCTCTGCTCTGCCCCAGCCAATGGCTCTTTTTCTGCTGTGGCCACTGCAGCTGCCCCAGCAGGAAAACAAGGCTAGAAATCCCTTTATAAAAACGAGCCTCTATTTAATCCCTGATCTAGGCAGTAAGCAGAGTCTGCCCAGGATGAACCCATGTCCGTGCAGTCCCTCATGTCCATGTGCCCTTCTCCTGGGGAGGGGAGAGCATGATTCTAGGATTCTAGGATTCTATGAGTCAATGATTCTATGATTGATTCTAGGATTCTATGAGTCAATGATTCTATGGTTCTATGACCTGGCTTTGCCAAGCATACAGGGATCCAGACGTGGAGGTGGACGTATGGTGCTTGGGACTCCTGAGTTTTCCTGCCAGCTTGGGGTGGGAGTCAGGCATGGGGTTTTGCCTGCAGTAAGATGTGACATGGGCACAGGTCCATGGTGCAGTGCCACCTCTGCAGCTCTCCCCAGGCTGTCCCATGTCACCTGCCTCAGTGTGGCACAGACAGACCCACCCTGGACAGAAGAAATTACACAGCAGCAGAATCGTGGAACCCTGGAATGGTTTGGATTGGAAAGAACCTTAAACATCACCTTGTTCTGCTCCTGCCATGGGCAGGGACACCTTCTACAAGACCAGGTTGCTTCAAGGCCCATCCAATATGGCCTAGAACAATTCCAGGGATGGCAGAGTCTCAGCTTCTCTGGGCAACCTGTGCCAGTGTCTCACCATGCTGTTAAGCAGTGACTGTTCCAGGGCCAGAGGGATCCATGAGTTCTGCATGGAAGGCTGTGCCACAGCCTCTGGAGAGGGCTGGGATCTCCCAGGCAGGTGGCAGCAAGGGCCAGCATCCCTCCTCAACACCAGGCAAATGCTGGGGTTCTGTGCAGGGCCAGGAACGGGACTCAATGATCCTCGTGGGTCCCTTCCAGCTGAGGATATTCTGTGATTCTATGATCCCCAGGGATCCTCCTGGGGCCTGTCAGGAGTCAGCCTGCCTGCAGGAGGGCCAGCTCTGCCCTGACCCAGCAGCATGGTTTCTGCCTTTATTGCACTGTAGCATCTGAATGAATATTTTATTCATTCCCTTAAGAACATCTCCACAAATGCACATTTGAATAAAACATGAGGATGCATTTTTGGAAGAGCCATCTAATGCTTCAAACAGCCCCATCACAGTGTATTAACCAGAGAAAAAAAACTGTGCTGTTGTATTTTTATCTTGTGATTCTAATGGAGTCCCATGGCATACAAGGCAATGGGGAAGGTGCCCATGGCCCCATGTCCCTACAGCCACATGAGGCCACATCCTGGCACTGGGGGCTGTGGCTGCTGTTAGCTTCTGTCCTGAGTGCTGGAGGGATAGGGCAGCATGTCTGAATGCTGAAGCCATTTGTTTCACATCCCCAAAACAGGGATATATCTACTTACAAACAAGCCAGAGAGGAGGGAAAAAAAAAAAAAAAAAAAAAAAAAAAAAAAAAAAAGAAGAAGAAGAAGAAAAAGAAGTAGAGTTTCTTAGTGAAAGGTATTGGCAAAGTAGAAAAAAACCTGACCCACATGCTCATGTCCAAACACACGAGTGCCAGAACAGGCACATGCACCTGCCACCTCTGTGAATCCTGTAAGCTGCCCCAGACAGATTCTGCTTCTCATCAGTTAAGCCAATTCCAGGTTTCTCTATTCCTGAGCACAGCAGGGAGATGCACAGGGATGTTTTTGCATAGCTGAGGTGATTCTAACAAAAATCTTTGCACTTCAGGAAAAGATGATTCTTTTCTTGTTTGAATTCATTGAAAAGCAGCAATAAAGCAAATGGGCAGAGAGGAGCAAGCAGGACAATGGCAGGAGGGTGGAGGGGGCAGAGGTTGTAGGGAATGGGAGCCAATTAAGCCTAGAGAAGGGGAAATTTAGCACAGTTAAAGAAAATGCTCCTACAGCCCTAAACAGGACTTCAGGCCATCAGTGCAAGAGGCCACAGACAGTAGGGTCCCTGTGAGATGCCATAGGAGCAACACCTGCAAAATCAGAAGGCTTGGCACGAGTTAGAGCAGCAAAGCATGAGGAAAAGGGAGCCAGCTTTGGGGGAGGAGGACAGACCAGATGTGGCCTGAATGCACCATGGCTGGGTGAAGGAAAGGGCCAAATCACCAAAAGTGTGACCCTTGGAAACATCACCTGCTCCTACAACGACACAGAGTTCACCACCCAGGGGAGCACAGCAGCCCCAACCTGGACAAGGTGAGGTCCCTGTGAACAGCGTTCCTTGGAAAACTCCTATTCTGGAATGGCTTGGCATCACTGCTGACAGGTAACACTGATTTATGAAGTAGAAATAAATGAGCCTGCTCTGCAATTTCACCTAATTTTGTCTCCCATTTCAACTTGCCATCTTTCAGCATAATGCTGGGTGGTTAATTATGTTTCCATCTTATTTCTCTGATAATACTGCACCTTGTACTGCTCAAAGGGTTTCATTTTACCTTTCATTTCACCTCCTAGCACAGCTCTAAATTTAGTCAGCTTGTAATTTGGGGGTATTTTATGCATTATGCTTTTAGTATTTGTAGGTAAAATGGAATCCTTGTCTTTTAATTCTCTCTCTAATAATTCTCCACCAAATCTTAATACAAAAGACTTCTTTTTTCCCCGAAGACTAATTGAATGGGATGTAATTATAATACCCAGGGAGATGATATCGAAAGTACATTAACTGTGACAGTTTCCTCTAACTAATCACCCCCCGGGCAACTTCAAATCTTGTCTGTGCAAGCTCCCAGTCAGCTGCTGCACAGATGTGCCAAGAGGGGACTCGGCACAAGACTTCCCCACCAAGATGGGGACTTGGGCAGGGTGGATGTGGGACCCTGGTGTGAGACCCTGGGATTTCCAAGCTGCTGATGCAGCTGCAGGGTCTGAATTGCCCTTCAGGGACCAGCAGTGTGCTCACGTGTAGAGAAGGAATTGGGGTGTCCGAGGTGGCTGGGGACCGTGCAGGTGGCATTGTCCCACTGAGGCAGCGAAGAGACAGGGAGCAAAGTCCTTGCCTCAGCCCAGAGATGTTCCCATCGCCATCACCCTCTTCCTTGGTTTATCACTCCCGCTAAAACTGTTTGTCTGCTTGGCCAAAGGAAAGCATTGAAAATACTCCAGTGAGTGGAAGAAGGGCAGAGGGCCAGGAGCTGTGGCAGGAGCATCCTTCTCTGGCTACTCAGGAGTCAGAAATAACACCAGCAGTCCTGCAGGCTGCAGCGTTTTCCTTGGAAACACTTCTATCTGCCAGGAGAGGAGCAGCAATTTGCAATATTTGTGTACTCTGATGGTGTGATAGCAGCGAGGTCAGTACTCAGCAGAGACACCAAGGGGCTATTTCCTCACTAAACTGTGCACTGCAGTAAATGAAAAATAAGCTTCAAGGGTGCCTATTATGCAGACAATAAAATGTTTTTATATCAATGTAGGTGTCAACCCCAACACTTCTGCAGAGTGGATCCCTCACATTATGAGCCAACTACGAAAATGCTCAGCCAAGCAGGGATGTTCCCATCTACATCCTGGTGTTTGCTACTGGAAATAAGAGATTCCCACTCTGCATTCGACAGCCTGGGTTCTCAGAGGGGACAGGAGCCCAGGTGGGGACCTAACAATCACAGTCTGGCCTTTGCTAGGGGTAGCAGCTGTGGGGACATGGCACTGCAGCAGTGGGAGCTGCCACACAAAGGTGGAGGGATAGGACAAGAGAAAAGCATCCAGTAGAAATTAATGCACTTTTCTGTAGAAATTAATGCACTTTTCTTTAGGATCACTATGAGATAATCAGCCTTTGCTGGCCACAACAGGCTTTCAGCTCTGGTCCCAAGCCACCACTGAACAAGCTGGTTGGGATTGGAATGGCCAGGGCGGAGTCCCCAGCCCCTTCACCTCAGATTCAGCAGCACGAGAAACACTCCCAGAGCCTCCCCTTGCTGCTGAGTGAAAAGATCTTCTGCAGAGATTAAAATTAATTTATTATTTCACAGTCTGGTATTTACATCACATCTGGAGAAGATATTACATACCCCATTACAAAAACGTCTCAGTAATGAGTCCTGTGGTGGGAGCCAGGGCAGGGGGCAGCAGGCAGCAAATGCCAGCGACCCCCTCCCTGCCATGGCCCCCACATCATCTCCAGCCCCTCCTGCACATCCCCTGCAGGGTCCCAGAGCAGTCCCAGAGCAGGGCTGGAGACGTTGGTCCCACAGCCCCAGGGTCCCAAGCACTCTGACATCGGGGGCACGGAGCATCCTGCCCCACCTTGAGCTGCTGCACCACAAGAAATTGTGTGTCCTGGAGAAGGTCACGAGCTCAGGGCCAGGAGGTGGTACATTTTTCTTTATTTTGTATTACTGCAACAAAATCTAGCTCAGTCTGAGGCTCTGTCTGGGCATCTGCATGCCCCAGACAGAGAGATTCCCTCACACAACTCTGAAATTTAACTGAAACACAAGCAGAAACTCAGTGCCTGGGACTTGCATGGTGGAAAACATCGAATTTGAAACCTTATTAATGCAATTACTGAGGAAGGAGAAACCAGCAGCATGTGCCATGGAGACATCTCACCATCCCTGGGGCCAACAGGGTGTCAGACACCCTCTGAGCACGCTGCCACATGTGCACAGCAGGAAGGCTGTGGGCAGGGAAAGCCCAGTGCTCCCAGGGCAGAGCAGCCCCCAGTGACTCAGGATCAGGCTGGAGCCAGCAGCCACATGGGGAAGGATTTCACATAACCATTGACTTCCTGATTCCTGATTGCAACTTGGATTCAGCATCTCAGGAGATAGGGAAAGGCGACTCACAGCAATGATTTCAGCTATTCAGATTAAAGCCCCTTTGGGGGGCCTGCTGCCTGTCTGTCTCTGTATTGTCAACAGCTCTCTGGGAGTATTTTATGTAGGAGGATTGGAAAACGAGCCCCTTTCTTGGTGAATGTGTCCACAGAAAAGGAGGAAACCGTGGAGTGACGGGGTTCTGGCAGCTGCACTGGGGTCCCTGCCTGCAGCCTCCAGGGAAGCTGGGGCTCAGCAGATGCTCCTCTCCAGCAGCTGTCACAGTCCTGCTGACGGGTGCAGGATGGTAGCCCTGGAGCATCCCACCTCTGCAGGCACTGGGCCACATCCTGGAGCACCAGGACCCAGGCCCAGGCTGGCCAGCCAGGGCTGCTCTGCACAGAGGCTATCGAGTGACCTGCAGGGGAGAGGAGAAGTTATCCAGGGCATCCAGCTGATCTCCATCCATGAATTATCAGCAAATAGGTGCCAATAAGATTTGCTCTTCACTTTCATTTAATGGAGTGGCCATTCCAAAGGTCACCTTATGGATGGTTTGTGATTTCTGTGCCCTGGCTGCAGCTCCCATTGAGGTCTATCTGCATAGGGGACTGGGATGCAAATTCACCCTTTGGCACCATTCCAAAGTCACTAAAGTCACCCAAAATTACCAGAAGTCCTTTTGAAAACATGGGTCAGTGTTTCCAAACTGCCACCTCCCTAAGGAGGGCATGGCACCCAAAAGGAGGTTGGCCATGGAGGGGTCTGCTGGATGAGGCAGGAGAGCAGAAGCTCCTGAGTCTGAGTCTTACTCCCATTCCACATGGGAATGGTCCCAGTGAAAATTCAAGACAGCAAAGCCAGAGCAGAGGCTTTGGGCTGAGTTAGTAGCTGGAGGAAATCAACCAAACAACACTAAAAGGGGAAAAAGACAACCAGCTCAATGTAATGCTGCAGTTACTGGTCAGTGATGGATGCTCAGGGCAGGAGGAACCTTTTTGGATGTCCACAAAAACACTTCAGCATGAAAATGCTTTCTGTGCACAAAAATAATAGCGGCAATGAAAAAAAATCCCAACATTGCTTAGTACAATAATTTTGTGGTGGGGGATGTGGGGCGAGGAAAATGAAAGCATAAGGAATAATTACACTCAACAGTATGAACAATGATTACAAAATTATGCAACTGATTAACCGTGGCATATATGTAATTACTAATGAGTTTGATAAAATTTTAATTACACCTTGTTCTTTGGGGCATTCAGCAAGCCATGAAAATAATTGTGTAGTGCTCTGTCACAAACGATTGCCTCAGAGGGGTAACGGGGACACATTCAGGAATGGGGTGGGAAGGGCAACCTACTGCCCCTGGGAAGCAACCTGGACACCCTGGGAGCGTTGGGATGTCACAGAGACACACCTGGGATGTCTGCTCAGGGGTTCAGCCACCCAAAAGAATTATCAATTGGAAAAGCTGTGGGATCCACTCAGGGTTGTGGCACACCTGGCAGCCCCTCCAGCACCAGTGACAAATGCACAGCCCAGACCCTCTGCTCTGCTTCAGTGAGTCCTTATCAAGCAGTGTGTGCCCTGAAGGAGCTGGGGCTCTCTCCTTCCCCACAGAACTGTGGGTGCACTCCTGGGTTTGCTTCCCCCAGACTGGGGAAGGCACAGCTGGGCTCCCCCATCACCTGCCAGGGACGTACCTTGGTCGTCTTCACTTTGTTGCCACTGCTGCAGCTCCATCCCGAGAGGTCAGGCAGCACTTTGCATTCCTCCCCTTCGAGACACGGCTCCATCTGGCACCACCACTTCTGCAGCACGATGGAGGCTGGGGAGAGGAGGGGATCAGCAGCCAGGCTGTGCCATCAGAACACACAGCCCCTCTCTCCAGCACAGCTCACATCAAGGAGCCCTGGCCAAGGAGCTGCTCGTCACCTGCCTGCTCTCACCTGACTCCCCTGCTCTACCTGCCTCCAGAACACCCTGTTTTCTCTCACTACCCCAGGAAAAAAGAGCCCAATGTCCTCGCTCCCAGCAAGAGCAGTGCTGTTCAATAACCTGTGTCAGGCTCCACTTACAAAGCAAAGGGATTGCCTCCTACCACTCTGCTTGTTTAGGGTCTTGTGATTCATGCCTCCAGTTTGGGCAACCAGAGGGGGCTCTCTTATATTTGGGAACAATATGACCTGAGCAGCTGGGGACAACAAGAGCCTTTCCTGACAATTCATTCTGGCATTACTTAGTCTGCACAGAACTGCAGCCCCAGGGCATTGGCTGTCAAGCAAATCAATACCATGCTGGCAGGGGCTGGCAGTGCTCCCGATGGCTCTCTGGTCATGGCACGTGATGGCATTCAATAAAACATACACAGTTTGAGTTTTGCTTGGTGCCCCTCACAGGAAAGGTGCTGCATGGCTGCAAACACATCCCTGCTTCCAGCTGTGGCAGCAGGGTGAGGAGACGTGCAGGGATCCATGCTGCAGACCTGACCCCAGCACAGTGATGCTGGAACCCCAGTGACTCCCCCACAGCACATAGCCCAGGGCTGCTCAGAGTGGAGTATCACAGCCACACCAACTGTGTGAGTATCCACAGCATCCCCCAAATGTGCCCCCTTCCCCACTGCCATGCTGCAGGATCCCTGGGCAGGTCTCCTGTGTTAATGCCAGGGGCATGGACACCCCACACCAGTTGTACTGGATGCAAAGATGAGGCCAGGGACTGAAAAGGACGGGGTTGCACCATGAGGCACTCACCGTCCACGCAGGAGGGAGCTGCCCGTGTTGTCCCTGCCACCTGTCCCGGGAAACAGGAGCATTTCACCGTCTGCGAGCGCTCCTCGATCTTGTTCTTGTTGCAGCACCGGTGAGCCGCGATGACTTCACACGTGCCGGGCTCCACTTGCACTGCAGGAGGAGAAACAGCCCCTGTCAGACCCCAGAGACCTGAGGCCATGTGCTGCCCAGTGCCTTGAGAACACACCCTAGAACACCTCCTGCCCACTGCCCTGGGCACGCTTGAGCTGTGCCAAGGCACCAGCAGAGCCCGGGGTGTCCCAGCCTCGGGAGTCAGCTCCAGGGCTGCTGGTGACATACAGGTGTCTGGGCTCAGCATCTTCCCAGCCCACCTGTAAGGAAAACTCCTGGCTCCTGCTCCTAATAACCCTCACACCCATCCCACCCTCCAAAACTCATCCCCTCTTGCTTACAGCCAAGCCAAGAGCTTTATTGAAACTAATGAGCACATTAACTAATTGCAGCTGATAACGAGGTGCACTTTGCTACAAAAGGGGATGGTGCATTGTGCTGCTTTTGGCTTCAATTAGAGCACCATCACCTCCAACCCCAGCTACAGCCAATGAATGCCTCCACCTCACCACCACCCACTCTCTGCCTGGAGAAGGAAGGATCGGGATGGGTTTCCACCCTGCAGTGGCAGAGAAATGTCATGGTGTTCATCAGCAATCCAAGCTGCTCTGCTGCTCCCCCTCCCAGCACCATTAAAATATTAAGGAAAATAGAAAACTACTGTGTTGGCTGATCACCTCTGGGATCAGAGTTTAGAGCTGGTTAGCATCTCAAATCAGTGTTTCGGCTGGGTAATGGCCCACACAAGCACAATACAAATCAGCCAAAAAGGGCTGAGAGACTTCATTCCCATGACCCCAGAGATCCCTGCAGGTCCTGCTTAATGAGCACTGGAGGAGCAGTGCAGAGCCACACACGGCCATGCCCTGGGTCCCGTGGGTCACCAGGAACAGGAAAGAGCTATTCCCTAGCACACAGGAACCAACAGGGCACAGGACAGGGAAGCTGCATTCCTGCAGTGTGGCATCCCAAAACAATATGCAGGAAAGCAGGCGTCAGGGCATCCATCCCTTGGCTCGGGACACCTCCCACACTCCGGAGTGCAGGCACGGCCCCCCAGGAGCTGCAGGCAGAGGGAAGGTTTGGAAGGAGGTGCAAGCAGGCCATGCAGGGCCTCGTGGAGTGATGTGTGCTGCTGCAGGGAGCTGTGAACACGAGCCCACGCTCTGCCCTCTCCCAGCACATCAGGCTCCAGCAGCTGCTCCGACCCACCCTGCGTTTATCCCATCCTGGCCCCTCCCAGCTCTGCCTCAGCCCCGTCACCGCTGGAGCGTCCTGCTGGGGATGCCATCCACCCCCAGTGCCACAAGGTCAGGGGGACCAGGGGACCTTGGCAGGTCCCCACCTGCTCAACAGTGCCACAAACACTGCCCGGCTTTGGCAACGCAGCCGCCTCGCCTCTCCGAGGAAAGCAGAGGGAAATGGGCTCTCTCCCCCACTGCTGGGGGAAATCCTTTTGTCTTGCAGACATTTTTTCACATCGCTGCTCAGAAATGCTTGTCTAAGTGTACACGGCCGGCTTGTGGCAGCGGGGCACGGCTGTACCAGCTTCCAGCCAAAGCACTCTGTGCCTGCCCTCCTGCTCCCCCGGGTCTGACAGGAGACAGAGCAGGATGTGAGGAGCTGCTCCAGGACACAGCCCTGTGCCCTGCACCCCCACACACGGGCACGATGGGCTGTGCAATCACCATGTCTTTAATTTACTTTATTTATTGCTATTTCATGGTCAGTTTCTTTTAATGAACCCTTACTTTCATTTCTGTCCATAATAATTACACAATTATTATATGGAATATTTTGTAATAGCATCTCTGGCCACAGATTTTATCTTCCATTTGAAATGCCATAGTAATTCAGCTTTAATAATGAATTCCATTCTTTTTGTATAAAGAAATGGTAGACTTCAGTAAAAGTGAAAAGAAAAGCAACTCTTTGCAGAACAAACATGACTCTTTTGCCCTTTCTTTATGCTTCATGAGATTTTTTTAAAGAATTTGAGGAAGAAGTAGATATCCTTGGCTTTGGCTGCCTGTGAGCCCACATTCCTGCCACACTGTGGTCCAGGACCACAAGGAGTCACTCTTCCATCCCGTGCAGCTCACCAGGGAATTTTACACCCTCAAGCCTCAGTGTTAACAAGTGGTTATGGTTTTGACTCATTTTCAGAAAAGCTTCATTAGCAGAGCTCTTCCCGGGAGGGCTGCCCAGGCAACCCCTCGGCTCCCTTGCATTCCTGCTCTCGGGCTGCTCATTTTCAGCTAATTTTAAAAGGTTCAGCCGAGGGAGAGCCAGGCAGAACTGAGAAATCGCTCATTACAACCATGCTATAGCAGTTTGCTAACGTGTCAAAGCCCTTTTAATTTGCTCCGAAAGGTGCAGCTCAGAGATAAAGAGAAATTTGACTCCCTCTGCCTTACTGCAGCTGGCTGAGCGTGGGACACTGCGCTGCCGGACCTGCAGCCGCAGAGTCCCTGCCCAGGAAGAGCTGTGGGACAGGTACCCCAGTGCCCTGGCACAGCCACACAGCCCCTGGCACAGCCACACAGCCCCTGAACAACCACACAGCCCCCGACACAGCCACACAGCCCCTGGAACAACCACACAGCCCCTGGCACAGCCACACAGCCCCTGGCACAGCCACACAGCCCTGACACAGCCACACAGCCCCTGGCACAGCCACACAGCCCCCGACACAGCCACACAGCCCCTGGCACAGCCACACAGCCCTGACACAGCCACACAGCCCCTGGAACAACCACACAGCCCTGACACAGCCACACAGCCCTGACACAGCCACACAGCCCCTGGAACAACCACACAGCCCCCGACACAGCCACACAGCCCCTGGAACAGCCACACAGCCCCTGGAACAGCCACACAGCCCTGGCACAGCCACACAGCCTCACAGCCAGGGCTCTATTGATGGCAGAGCTGAAGGAGCAGCATGCAGCCCCAGGACCCATCCTGCTCTCAGGCCACAAAATATTTCCATTTGCCTAAAGATCTTAGACCTGTAGAATCAGAGACTGGTTTGGATTGGAAAGGACCTTAAAAATCACTTTATTCCATGCCCTGCCATGGGCAGGCACCTTCCACTAGACCAGGTTACTCCAAGCCCCATTCAGCCCAGCCTTGGACACATCCAGGGATGTGCTCAAGGGCAACCTGTGCCAGGGCCTCTCCACTCTCACAGGGAAGAATTTCTTCTGAACATCTAATCAAAACCTGTCTCCTCCCACGTTAAAACCATTCCCCATTGCATTGTCTTGTGACCATCTGGCACCCTGCCCTAGGACACGATGCCACTGGAGATTTGCCCCCTCCAGGTGCCAGCCCCAGCCCTGCAGCAGGACACAGTGCATCCCCTTCCCAGGCCATGGCACTGGGCAGAGGTGGCATGCCCATAGGGACGGCAAGGGCCACCCCAGCTGCCATAAAGCACCTCAGGTCAGGCACACCAGGGTCGCTTGTCTTCCTGCAGGTGATGTGAACCATGCCAGACCCCAGCGCTCCGTGAGTTTGGGGGATGTAACTCAGAGCAAAGAAATCCCTGTGCCTCAGACATGGTGATTCCCAGGAGGGCACTGCTGTTTCCTCGCTGCAGAGGAGATGAGCATGCCCATGAGGATCCAGCAGGAGAGCTTTCATGTCCCACTCCTGGGAAATGCGAGCAGAGAGGCTGAGCCCTCGTGCAGTGCGAGCAACGAGCTCCAGAGCTCCCTGCAGCTGCTCCTCCTTTCGCTGAGCAGCAGGCAACTTGGAACAAAATGCATATCAGATGGATGGTGTGTTTAACACCGACAGCAGGAAACCTCCCGGGAGCCTGGGATAAGTTCCAGAGCTTCTGGCATGCTTCTCCCTCCCATTTAACTGGTATTTCCCCACTGGAACCCTTTATAAAAAGACACAGCTTATCTCGTGGAGCCATAAAAGAATTTTAAGAGCAAAAGGCTTTTGAATCCTGCATGCAAAAATAAAATAAGAATGCTGTCCTACTCTGGTTGACCTTTAAATGAGCAGCAGAACATGGGGTTTTTATGGCATAACCTGAAATGACACATTTTGAGTGTCTCACGGAGCGTGGGCACAACTCCACATGTTCAGTGTAAAATACTGCTTGCTGGTGGAGAGCTACAAAATGAAGAGAAGCTGGATGCATGTAAGTGCCAGGCAATGCCCAGAGAACCTCGTTTTCCAAAATAAAAAATCCCAGCTGATTTAACTCTCTTTTACTTCTGCTTCAGGTTGAGTGATGAACAAAGATAAAGGCAAAGACAGCCCTTTGATAATCAGCATTAGAAGATGCTGGGGCCACCTTGGTGGGAGTTGGATCCAGATATTCCAGCCTTGTTCATCATGAAGACCTCACCATGTTATACAGGGGATTAAACTGCTGGTGAATCATTTGTCAGCAAGGAGTCTCCTATTCTGTTCCCAAATGACTGTGCTTGATTCATGTGGCTCTTTAAATCCAACCACATTCTGCAGGAAGCAGCACTTTCCTTGGACAGAGCAGCATCTCCACGTGCTGGGTGGGCACAAGGGATCTCAGGCACACACTATGATTTGTGTGCAGTGCCAGGAGTTGGACTTAATGATCCTTGTGGGTCTCCTCCAACTCGAGATACTCTGTAATTCTATTATCAGATCTGGTTGCCACAGTCAGATGTGTCCCTGGACAGCAAACAGAGGGTTTGCATGTGGACTCTCTCTTCAAGAAATTTGTAAGTTTGAGGTCACAATTAAAGATCTTTCTCTGCTGTTGATAATTTTTAGGTGGTTTTACCTGTGAATAAACACAATTCTTTAACGGGAGGAAAGCTCTGGATGAATCTGTCCCTCAGCATCTCTGATTCTGGGGGTCTCAGGAGTCAGTGACACAGTTATCCCTGTTCAACTCCATGCAGAAACATAACTGCAGCTTCCTCAGACATAAATGTCACTGCCACTGAGAATGCAGCATTATGAAAGCAGCATTAGGAAAGCAGTATGATTATGCAGCATTTTGTTTCAAGCCTAACCTTCACTGAAAACTGTCCCAAATGCAGCAACAACAGAGCAGACAACAGGAGAGTAAAGGCCATGAGCTCAGCAAGCCTAGAGCTCATCTTGCTGCACTCCCTGCCATTACCAGGGCCACCTTCCACTAGAGCAGGCTGCTCAGAGCTCTGTCCAACCTGGCCTTGGGCATTTCCAAGGCTGGGGTATCCAGGGCTAGGACAAGGGAAAGGCAGGTAGCTGCTGACTGACTGGGTGAGGGAGTCACTCCAGAAGATGCGTTTTGGTTTTAAGCAATGCTGGTGGGGATTACAGGATTAGAACTGCTTTAACTGTCAGGCAAAATTGACAGAAATAGGACAGGGTCAGGTGTGGGGTCAATCCAGAGCATGAATTGTTTCAAATTAACCCATAAATTCCCTTTCCAAGCAGAGGCACGTGGAGCAGACAGCAGGTGCCCCAGGAGCTGAGCGTTTGCCTGTGCTGTCAGGTGCACAGCTCTGCCAGTAACACCAGTACCACCAGCAACACCAGCATCCAGCTCCCCATATTTCCTCCTACCATGCTCCAAGGAGCCCCCAGCCCTGGGTCCCCCCACTGGCCCATCAGGCTCCTGTATGAGGGAGGATGGGCACAAAGACCTGAGCACAACTTCTCAGATGCTTCTCTACTCCAGACACAAACTTCAATCATGGCTCACATAACCCCTCCAAAAAAATCACACCCATGCCACAAATTCCAATGTTCAGAGAGGAAATCTCAAATTCACAGCTGGTAATAACAAATGAACATCTCAGACCCACAGTGATGTTTTCCAGCAAGACTTTCAGTTCTACATCACTTTACATTTGTTCCATCTTTCTAGATGATCTTTGCAACCAGGAGATAACAATTTTTATTTCTAATATAAACCTGGAGAGTGTCCACCACATAACAAGTGGGGTTTGTGATACTCATAGTAACTCAGGTGGAAAGATTTACATCCACTACTCGCAGACCAAGAATTACTGCAACAATAGATTCACAGATGTATCAGATGGATATGGATCATTATATGTGTCTCAGATTTTGTACAGACATGAAGAAATTCCTTCTTTAACTCCTCAGACCATCCCAAGTCACCAAGCCACGGGTTTGAAATGCCCCATGATGAGTATTCACAACTCTCCAAGGAGCAGCTTTACAGCCCTATGGCTGCACGTTCCTGCCCGTCTGGAAGCAGCAGCCCCGGGAGTTTCCTGCACACGTGGACACTGCAAATGCCCATCCAACAGCTGGCACAGTGGCACAGCGTTGGTGCCTCTTGGTGTCGGTTTGCTGGATGCTGCCCCACACATTTGGCACACTCATCCTTGCTGCCCAGACGCCAGAAACAGGGATGGACACTGAGCTCCCTGGGGCTGTCAGCATTTGGTCCCAGAGAGACGCCCACCACAGCCTGGAACTCCTCCTCCTCCCACCAAGAAATGTGACACAGAACTGCCCCAAGCATCTCATCCCCACGTAACCCCCGCCCCAGGCATCCCCCAAAGTGAAGACCCCAAAGGACTGCCATTATCATGGGGACCCAGATGATTGCACAAGCATGTGACACATGCAGGATCTTGTTCCCCTACCTGAATGGCTTCTGTGATGATGTGTGGAGGCCAGCGTCAGTCGTCCCCACAGCGTGGTAAGGCAGAGACTGAGCACCAAAACCCATTTGCTCAGGCTCTGTATATCTCTCTCACTCATTCTACCAAAAAGAAGAAGAGATATGTGGAGGAAGAGGGACTGAGGAGGGCTGGGAGGTGCAGATCCACTCACCAATGCTCCTGCACGCAGTGGTATGACTCCTGAACGTTGTGAGGACTGGGGTGTCCTGGCTGTGGGACATGGCCCTGGGAGATGAAGTGATTCACCCACCACCCTCAGATGACCTCAGACTTCAGCAGAAGCAGGCCATCTCAGCAGGACAGAAAGAGATCCCACCAGCAGTAGTAGAGGTGAGTGATGGTTACCTTTTACTGGGGATTCACGCTCACATCTGTGCATCTGCCAACCTCAGGTGGGTCAGGTCTTTGCGAGGAGCAGACATCAGCACATCTGAAAGGAGAAAAATGACATGGGCAGTGATACCTGCCACCAGTGTGAGCCACTGTGTCCCTGGGAGTGGCTGGGGACACCTGGGAATCCCACCAGCCCAATTCAGGACACAGTCTCAGGTGCATGAGCATGTGCCCATCCCACCACTGAAACTTCTCCTGGAGCTCAGCCCATAACCCTGCTCACCCTTTTGAACAGCAGGACCTGCAGAGCTGCTCCTGATCTTCACTGCTGAGAGCACAAAATCAGGTCCTTTATAGTAGGTTATTAAAGCAGATGACAACACTAAATGCACACCCAGTGTGTGTGGGAAGAGCCAGGGTAGATCAGCAGCGAGTCATTTCAGGTTCTGCCTTCTCTGTGCTGTTATTGACCTTGTGTCACTGAGGTCCCTTGCAGGGTTTGGCATTTGCAAACCACTTGCTGACAAACAGAAGGATGGGCTGATCCGGCTGGATGTCCTGGAGCCAGCACCCCAAGGAAACCAAGGAACGGGGCAGCTGATTGCCAGTGGGATACACAGAGCCCATGGCAGTGCCAGGACCTGCCAGGACCTGCCAGGACCTGCCAGGACCTGCCAGGACCTGCAGTCCGCTCTCCCAGTGTGTCACCTTCTTCTGGGGCTGTTTCTCCTTCCAGCACAGAAGCCAAGTTCGTGCAACTCAAAAGTGCATCGGCTACCCCTGGACACACCAAAAACCTCTCTGGGCACCACACTGGCATCACTCCCACTCCAGGCAGCACGTGCTGGGAAGAAGCCCAAGTTTTACATCATTTAGAGCCCCTAAGGAGAAATGTAAATCCTAAAAGATTTTGTGTTTAAGTGCTGAGTTCCTTCAATATGTTCTTTTCACTATTTAGAGCCACAGCCCTTCAGGTGGGAGCAGCTCCAGCGCTCAACAGGCAGCAGCACCAACAGCAACGTCCCCACTTGGCACCTGCCAAGGGACATGGTGACCTCCCAGCCTCCACTATCACCTCTGGGGTCTAACCAGGTCCAGCAAACAACCATTTCCCCTATAAAATTTTAGTGCTGGACCATAACTTACTAACACGAGGCCACAAAGCCGAGTGGCAATGACGCTGAGGCTGGGGAGTGCTGCCAGGACCAGCAGCAGGTGCCAGGGGCACCCCTGCCCTGTGCCAACCTTGCACTCAGAATCCCCTCCACAGGCAGTGCAGAGTTCCAGCAGTGCACTGGACAAACCCACACCTCTCAGAGAATAAACCTTCACTTTTTAACTGTGTTTGAAAATTCTATCTGCTCTGAACCACAAGACAGTGAAACCACAGACTCCTCTAATGAAGATTCAGGACACAATATGCTAACATTTTTAATCAAAACAAAGTGATATGAAGTGGTAGAAAGGACATTTCTTGTTTTGAAGCATTTAAAAAAGAATTTTCCTGTTTTAAACTGACATTTCAAAATGAAAAGTGTTTCATTCCAAAGTGGTGATTTAAAGTGATATTTTGCACTTTGATTCTCCCATCTGGAAAACAAAAATCAGAAAATGCCATCAAAAGTGTTGACATTTGCCCAGGAAAAAAACAAAGGTATATTGACAAACCCGCATATTTTATGCTAAAAATAATTTAGAGTAAGGAAATACTTCTAATTAATGCTGTGGGATGGTCAGCTTGGCCAGGAACAGACTGAAGAGTGGCTGGCAGCATCCCACTTGCTGTCCTGACTCCATCCCTGCCCACTGGGTGATGAGGAGCTGCTCCTGCTCCAGCCCCTCCATTGCCAGAAAGAATCCAGTATGGCTCAATGTGCAGGAAAACCCCTGCTCCTCGAGGTGTGAGACTCTCCTCTGCAAATCCATATTTAGGTGATCTCTGGTGCTGCAGCAGAATATGCTCTGCATGAGGCTTCTCAGGGGAGCATCATACAAGAGCCAGTACTGTTGGACTCCCGTTGGAGACGTGACAGCCCACTGTGTAAATACTGATGTCAGCTTAAAACATGCACTATTTGCTCAATGACAAAGCAAACAGCTCTCTCAGAGCTGCTCAGTCCTTCACCCGAATCCAGAGTCAGGGCTGCATCCAGCTGGGAGTGGGGCACGTGTCCTGCTCCTGGGCCACCCCTGCCCCTCCAGGCAGGAGCTGTGTCCCAGCTGGACAAGCTGTGCCCATGATGGGCACATCAGGCAGCCCAGATGTGAGGACAGCAGACACAATGCTAGTGCAATTTTTGCAACAGTGAGTCCCCAATGCCAAGGAACCTCCCATGTGCCTTCCAGCAGAGCAGCCAGGTCCCCATCAGGAGAGCCTGGTTTCCTGGCTGTTGCTCCATGCCAGGGCACAGCCCAGCTCCAGGCACCAGGCCCGAGCCCCAGAGCACACACCAGAGTCCCTCTGGAGGAGCCCATCTCCATGTGAGTTTCCAGAAGACATCCCTAAACCTCTCAGGTGGACCAAAAACCAAGCACTGCACTGGCTGCTCCATCCACAGAGGACAGCAACACGCTCCCAGTCCAAAATATATTTAGCTGAGAAAGGCTTGAGCTGTTTGCTATAGCCAAGGAAGCATAAATAAATTACCATGTTATCAATAATGCAATCCACACTGTCCATGCCACCATCCAAAAGGAAACCACTGAGCTGAGCAGGAACCATGCTGGTGGCCAGAAGAGCACGTGTGGTTCAGGGGAGCACGAGGACAAGGTGCCTCCCGGTGCTCCATGCTGGCAGAGGCACTCAGAGCTCCCACTCATTCCCAAACTCCCATTAGAAAAAACAGCTCCGCAGAAATTGCTGTTTTGACAGTTACCAACCTCCAGTGTCGTGAGATTACAACTACAAATGTTTGGTCTGAATTGAGATTTTTCAGCCTGGAACGTCAGTGAAATGAAGAGTGGTATTCTGGCATGTCAAAACACTTAATTTTGATTGAAAATCTCGGTATTCTCCATTCTGTTATGTGCTGTTTGGAATTTTGTGGATTTATTCACTAACATTTTTAGCTGCTTTTGGCTTTTGGGTCCTGAAGGAACTGTCAGGTTCCCCAATCTCTCAGACTATCAACCTCAGTTGCAACCAGTGTCCTTTTGCATACTTCATTTTAGCTCTTAATCAAGACATAGCCACGGTGGTCAAGGCCCAGATGTGCTCATGAGGGCGGCATGAAGGATGTGCCCTCTGACCAGAGAGGTGGACTGGGAGCACAGAGAAACACAAAGGACTCCTTCCCCCAAGCGTGCTCTTTCTTCTTCTTCTCTACACTGGTTTATTTCCAGCTTCTTGCTCATTCCTCCAGCATCTGCAGCATTTCCTTCCCAACCAAGATGAGCAGGAGAGTCTTTAATTCCACCAAGCATGGGCCTGTTCCTGCTCACTCACAGGTGGAACCCACCACCACACTGCCATTGGCATTTTGAAGGTCAGCTCTGCCAGCAGTCCAAACCTCAGCCTCATCCAGTGCCAGGATTGTTTCCTCAAGGGATACAACATCTCACCTGTGCAGGCTCTTTGCTGGGGTGTGAGTGTCCCAGCACAGGTGAGCTCTTCCAGGTAAAGGGCACCCAAACACTGAACAGCCCCCCAGGGCTCTCAGAAGCGATGGCTGATGAGCAGCAGGAGCCTCCTGCTTCCCTGCCTTGGCACCCACGGCACTGACAAACTCGTGACTCCAGAATGGGACTGATACAGCTCACAGTCTCCTCTGGGCCACCGAGCCTCTACTGGCGGTGATGGGGACATCTGACCCCTGCTCATCCTGGGCCCCCCGAGCCACCCCAGCGAGGCACTGGCTCTCAGCGCCACTGCCCTACTCCAGCCTGGTGCTGGCCAGAGGCAAACCCATCCTGGCTGGAGGAGCTACAGCAGAGAGGGAGGAAGCAGAGGGAGATTAAAGCTCCCATCCCATCCTGTCCTGCTCAAAGCTTTGGCTGCAGGGACAGCTTGTGCTGAAGGCAGCCGCAGCTGGGGTCCATGGCCCCTTCCAGAGCAAAGGAGCATCCTTGGCTGCAAAAACTGGGATCTCTCCAGCACAGCTTCACCTCCCAGATAGGAGAGTAGCTTCGCAGTGCTGGCAAAACAGCATCCGTGACGAGCCCACTCCCGGAGCCAGTGGCCGGACAGGGCCCCAGCGGGTCCGCATCCCCGCACAGCCCCGGGGCGGGCAGGGACCGCGGGCGCCGCTGCTGTCGGACTCGCCGGTAACGGGCGCAGGGCAGAGCTGGCCCCGAGAAACTCACCGCAGGGCCCTCCCGAGCCCCGCAGCGGCACCGGGGAGCCCCGGAGGGCGACAGGGGACCGGGACGCGCGGGGACCGGGCAGCGACGTGCGGCGGCCGGGCGGAGCCGGGAGCGCCGGTCCCCACGGCGGAGCCCCGGACCGGCACCCGGAGCCGCCGGTGCTCGCTCGCACTCCGATCCCGGCCGCTCCCCGACCCCGGCTGCCCGGCCCTCGTCGGGACTCAGCGTCCCCTCGGAGCGGCGCCGGGCCGGCGCTCGGTACCGCCACGGGAGTCGCCCCGGGGGTTCCTTCTCGTTTCCCCCCGGCAAAGTTTCCGCACGTACCTGCCAGAGGCCTCGGTGCGGCCGGGGGCCGACGCTGCCCATGGCCGGGGGCCGCTCCGCTCCGCCGGTCAGCGCCGCCTCCGCGGGCCGCAGCCGCCGGGGGCCGCGGGCATCGCCGGGCGGCAGCGCGGGGCTGGGCGGGGGCGGCAGCGCGGAGCCGAGCGGAGCCCGGCGGAGCCGCCACGGCCCGGGGACCGGCCCCGCGATCCCCGGCTGGCACCGGCACCGGCTGCTGCCACGGCCCGGGGACCGGCACCGACACCGGCACCGGCTGCTGCCACCGCCCGGGGACCAGCCCCGCGATCCCGGGCTGGCACCGGCACCGACACTGGCACCGACACCGGCTGCGCACCGAGCCGCCGCCGCCGCCGCCGCCCGCGAGGGCGCTGCCCCGCCCCGGTCAGCCCCGGTGCCCGTCAAGGCGGTCGGGGAGGAGGAATGGGCAGAGAGAATTTACCGGAAAATT